AGTGTCCAGTAGGAATTAGCTTGGATTGCTTGGGAATCAGCATTAAAAGCATAGCTGGTGGGCACAGTCATAAGGAGCAGAAGGCAGGGAGGACTTGGGACTCTGTGGCAAATCTCTTTTCCCCCAAACGCTCGTGGGGACACACCTAGGAGAGTGTGGGGTAGGAAAGTGATGTTTTCCTTCTCAGTGCAGATTTGATCTGGGGTGTGGGAGTGTTTCAGGTCACCCCAGTGACACTGTCCCCAAAAAACAGGGCAGGGGAAGGGCCTCGAGCTGCTGAGGTTTGCAGGGCAACACTTGGAGTCCATCCCTGCTGAGAGTCACTGGATCTTGGCACTGAGGTTTGAAACACCAAAATATTCCTTAGTGAAAGCAATACTTCCTTTCCTTTTAAGGACAGAAAAGAGGAATTGAGTTTCCTCAGCCTCAGTCCCATGTTGGTACTAGGAAATGGCTGCACTGCTCGCTGCTATGGCCAAAGGAAAATGATCCCACTGTGGTGTTTGACAGGTTTTCATTTGTGTGGAGAGAGCTCTGCTGTGTCCCTGGTGTGTGTGGAGGGTTTATTCCCTGGGTCTGGAAAGGCAGGGATACCGGGATGGGCTCATCCTGGTGGGATTTGTCACCTCAGAGGCAGTGAGGGCAGCGGTGACAGCAAGGATTGGAGTGTCCTAGCCCTGTGCAGCAGGTCCATTGTTGGCAAAACCACCCAGGGAAGCAGTTCCAGGTGGGAAGAGTTGGGGAATGCCCTCAGCACACCTGGGCTGTGGCTGGATGGGGTGTGAGGGGGCAAAGGGCCTTTTCCTGAGGGGCAGCTGCCAGTTTGGCAGTCCCTGCCTGCACTTACACCACAGGAACGTGTTCCTAGGACAGCCGTTGTGCTCCAGCATGTGGAATGTAATTGTAGGTGTTGTGTGGAGCACACTCAGGGCACACCGTGCTCCAGGAGCTGAGCTCTGCCATCTGGAGAGCCTCCCTCCCTGCCCCTAATGGGATTACAGCCTAAGCACTCTGCCTGATTAGCCCTGGGTTTGGCAGAAGGATTTTCCAGCACCTAAATACGGAGTAGGGATCTACTCTTCCTCATCTGACACCTTGCACCTCCCACCAGGCTGAGGGAGCTGCAGGGAGCTGGAGCTGTCCCTCCTTGTGCTTTCCTCCCTCACCTTGCACAAACAAAGCCCTCAGATGTGGGAATACAGTGGGAGAATCCAGGTGACAGAGTGTGTGGCATTTGCCAGCCTGCAGAGGGGCTGAGCTGCTGGAGGACAGTCACTGTGAGCAGCTCTCACCTCAGACAAGCCCAGCTGGAATGTTCAGGTGCTTCCAAAAATCCGATTGGAAGATCACTCAGGTTCTGGGTGTTGTTTTCTGGGCTGTGGTGTATGCTGGCTCTTCTCCCTCCAACTCCAGGAGGTGTTGGGTAGTGGGAAAGGTGGGATTGGAGTGCTAGGTAATGACCATGATGATGGTGATTTGCCTCAGTCAGGAGACAGACCCTTGTGATCCCTTGGGAAGACAACAAACCCTTCTCCACCTGCCTTATCTCTCAGAGGAGAGATGGAAAGGGATGGAAGGGGGATATGGGAAGGGAAAGAAGGAGGGAGAAGCCTTAAGTGCAGCTGAGAGGGCTGTGGGCAGTCAGGCAGGAGCATCCCTGGGGGTGACAGTGCCTTCAGCCCTCTCAGCTCCATGGGTCAGGTCAGCTGCAGCAGCTCAGGGTTTTGGATGGTGGTGGCTTGTCCCAGGGACCGGTGGGACACTGCCATTAATTTGGGGACTGTCTGAGGAGCTGCAGCTACCCCGGATAGAGAGGAAGATCTTTGCTTTCCTAAGTAGAGGTAAAGTAGAAATTACCTGTAATTGTTGCTTCTCTGGGTGTAATGAGTTGGACCTTTGGGTTTTTCAGCATTTTTTCCTTCATGCTGATGACTCCTCTCCCAGGCTGATTTTCATCTCCTGGCTGGAGCAGGGCTCTTCCCTGCACTACAGCACCTGGGAATGCAAAGCCTCATCCCACCTTCTGCCACCCTGATTTCTTCCAGGTCACGACAGCTTTGCTCATAAATCAGGGAGGACTTTTCTCAGCACTTTCCCTGGGAGTCCAGCGTGGTTGGGCTGAACTCATTAGCACCAAGCTGGGAGTTGGCAGCTCTGATTTATGAAGCAAAGCGACACCAGTGGAATACACAGGGACTAGGAGCACTTTGTTTGTCACATCTGACACCTGCAGTATCCCAACGTGTTGCTGAGCAGGGAAAATATGTCTGTCTCCTTTGGAAGGGGCAAATTCCAGCATGAGCCCTGGGATGTGCTCCGGAATTCCCCTGTGCTGTCGGTTTGGGGTGTTAAGGTCGGTAGGAAGTGGTTTGGATGTGTTTGTTGCAGCTCCACAGGGGTTTGGCTGGGCACTGGACCTGTGGCTGGGATGTGCCAGCTCTGGCCGTGCCTCTCCCCGGGGAGGTGAAGAGCCGCCAGGCATTTGTCACTGAAATCAATAGCAGTGTCAGCACTGGCCTGTGGTTGCTGCTGTTGTCTCCTGGGTGGAGGCTCAGCCCTTTCCCGGGGCTGGGAGGGAAAGTGAGATTGTGAGATT